AATGAACATCAGCATGCAATTATCTCTTTCAGACTCTGCTTTCCATTTTTTGGGTATATACCCAGAAGTGAAATTGTTCAATCCTATGGTAATTCTATTTTTAACTTTTTGAGGAACTTCCATACCGTTTTCCATAGCAGCTTCACCATTTTATATTCCCAGCAACAACACACAAGGGTTCTCTTTTCACCACATCCTTGCCAGTACTTATCTCTTATCTTTTTGATGATAGACACTCCAACAGGCCTAAGGTAACGTCTCATTGAGGATTTGAATTTCTCTTATGATTAGTGGTGTTGAGCATTTTTTCATGCTTATTGGTCATTTTATATCTTCTTTTGAAAATTGTCTATTCAAGCCCTTTGCACATTTCTTAATCGAGTTTTTATTTGTTGTTGCTGTTGTTGGTAGTGAGTTGTAGAAGTTTCTTATATATTATGGATATTAACCACTTATCAGATATATGATTTGCAAATATTTTCTCCCATTTCATAGATTCACACAGTTGATAGTTCCTTTTATATGCAGAGGTTTTTAATTTTGATATAGTCCCATTTATCAATTTTACTTTTATTGCTTGTGCTTTCACTGTAACATCCAAGAAACCAATTGCCAAATCTAATAATCTGAAGCTTCCCCCCTATGCTTTCTTCTAGGAATAGTATAGATTTAGACCTTTAATCCATTTTGAGGTAATCTTTGTGCCTTGTGTAAATTAAGAGTTCTACTTCACGCTTTTGCAAGTGAATATCCAATTTTCCTAACACTATTTGTTGAAGACTGTCCTTTCCCCATTACATAGTCTTGGCACCTTTGATGAAAATCATTTGACTGTATATGCAAGGGTTTATTTCTGGGCTGACTTTTCTGTTCCATTTTCTGTGTATCTATATTTATGTCACTACCCCACTGTTTTTTAAATTTTACTGAGTTATAGTCAGTTTACAATGTTGTGTCAATTTCTGGTGTACATCACAATTTTTCAGTCATACATGAACATACATACGTTCACTTTCATATTCTTTTTCACTGTGAGCTACTACAAGATCTTCTATATATTTCCTGTGCTATACAGTATACACTTGTTTATCAATTCTATATATACCTGTCAGTATCTACAAATCTTGAACTCCCAGTCTGTCCCTTCCCACTCCCCTAACCCCTGGCAACCACAAGTTTGTATTCTATGTCTGTGAGTCTGTTTCTCTTTTATATTTAAGTTCATTTGTCTTCTTCTTCTAATTTTTTTCTACATTCCACATATGAGTG